GACATGTAACACAACAGCGTCAGCCTCTAGTGTGACATATAACATACGCGTCAGCAGCTCTTTATTAACAATAACAATGACATCACATGTCAATAACAATCATTTAGCGTCCCTGTTATATGGCGGCTGATCTCGTCCTCTGCTCGGAGGGTAACGAGCTCCTGGACCTCATTGTTTGAGTTAGCTGGTAACTGCTAACAGCTGCTGTTCTTCTTTGAGTTAGCCGCTAACTGCCAACAGCTGCTTTTCAAATTTGAGATCACACACATAACGCGTCGTCAAAACGTCACACCCGTCCTGTTGGTTGTCCCTTTTATTCGTACAATGATCCGACGCTGTTACTACCTCTGCTGGTGGCTAAAAGGTGAGACAACTCTGTCTCCCCATTCTGTGATTGTACCTTTTATATAGAACAGCGAGGCGGCGTAATGGCACGAGATTCCCTCCTTTAAGAGGAAGTGTATAACGGGTTTCTGTGTCTTGTTTACAAGTGTATGCCTCCCCTCTGTTTGTCTTTTTGCACTTAAATTTGTTGGATTAATTTGAGTTGTTACAGCTGTTAAAAGGAAACATTGCAGATTTTCAACCAGCTCTGTGTGTGCAGATGAATGTTGTTTGGCTTCCTCTGATGCTGTGAGCACAGGGAGCTCCCTGCTAATCCACCAGCAGAGGTCTGCTGAACACCAGTGGAGCTCCGGGTGTTTGGCTTCCCTCCCATGCCGTGCAGCCGAGTTCCTACAGCTCATTTTCCAGTGGAGGTCAGCTTGACTTTTGCCTGCACAAACTGTGACGATGCAGAGCTGGTTGAAATTCAACAATATTGCCATTTAGCTATCCATATCGCTATGTGCTAAACTACAGTAGCTGTCATATTTGTGGAAACAGACCCAAACCTAAACCTGACCTATCCAACCAACGAATGCAACGAGTACTAGCCAATGAGAGGGAGAGTAGGGATGGTCATGTCTTCGCTATCCTAGGAAAGGCAAATTTGTGTGGGTACATCCAGGGGTGCACTAGCTAGTTAATTGCAGTCTCTTTCAACTGTGGTGGCGAGCAGTAAGCTGGCTGTCAATCATCAGGCCTCGTCATCTGGCAGTCCGCTTTCATATTTCATCTAAAGTGGGTTGGAACAACGACAGACGCGTTCAGTCACACTCAGGGGATCTTTAAATCTAAAGTGCAAAACGAAGAAGCAGCCGCTCACACTGAGCTCTGAGTTTTATTACGTCTCCAGACTGTTTGTTTTAATCTGCAGATCTGTTTTAGTTCAACCAAAGAAAGAGTTGAGAACTTAAGTTAATCACCATGGAAACAAGTGACTCATATTGAGTTAAGTGTGCCATGGTTTAGCCTGAAGGTCTGGACGTTTGGATTCAACCTGCAGGGCAACAAGGCAACATGTTGGGCAACCAGGACGGGCAACAGATCAACCTTACGCCTTTCTGATGGTGTTGCCTGTTTACTGCATTTTCTCTGAGCGTTCAGCTGCTTTTTCAGACTGTGACGTTGACTCGTTGCCCAATCAGTTGCCTTGTGTTGGACAGTTGGACAATAACTGATGTCGAACACTGAACCTCAGAAAGTCGACTTCCTGTCTCAGACGACGTGTTCGACATCAAGCTTTAAACCTGGAACATGCTGAACAAACAGAAGCAGGAAGACTTGTTGTTGTTGTTGCTGTTGTTGTTGCTGTGGTCACATGATGCAGTTTGTTTTATTGCTGACTGTCTGAACTCAGCCGTCACCTCCCCAGGAAGCTCCACCCACACACTTCTTCTCTGGATTGTGATGGGATGATGCTTTGATTTGATGGTGAAGAGGAGATCCAACTCTGGGACAGGAAGTCGGATCCAGGTGACGGTGTGTGGAGACGACAACAATCTGACTGTCAAACATCGTCATCACAGATCAGCTGACGGGACGCTGACGCCCTCTACAAACTCCACATCACAACAAAACATTTTAGCCCCGCCCACTACGGTGAGACTCAACAAACCGCTACGACCTTTCAGCATGAGAGTCACGTGACTCTTCAGCCTGTTTCGTTCTGACCAATCGTGGACTCAGCAAAATTTTAAATGTTGCAAACTAAAAACCTCCCCTGTAAACATGACATGATACTCAGTGAGCTAAATGCTAAACATGCAAACGTTTACCATGTTCACCATCTTAGCTTAGCATGTTAGCAGGCTAACATTAGCTGATTATCAGTAAACACAGAGTCCAGCTGAGGCTGATGTGAATGTCGTTAGTTCTGTGGGTGTTTGGTCATAGACCAAAGGACACGTTAAAATGTCCTGATGATGGCGCCAGTTATTACACTTCATCCTGAGAGGAACGTGAACAATGAACATTTCATCACAGTTCGTCTAACAGACCGAATCACTGTGACGTCGTCCGAACACTTCTGGGTAGAAAACTTATCTGGATTGTGGAAAAAAATCTGAACTCTGCAAACTTGTTTATTTCTGTTGTCATGTTCAGCCGTAACACGGCGTCCGACCTGGAAATGACACGAGTGAACGTCAGCGACTAAATCAGTTTGATTACATTGTTTTCTATTGGACTGTCCAAACTGCCCGGGGGCAAAGAGATGGAGAGCGCTGTTTTGAGCTGAACTTTTGTCAGACAGGCTGTTTCTATTTCTGTTCTGTCACTCATGTTAAAAAGCGCAACAGTGAACGAGGAGCGGCTGATTCACGAGGTTTAATGAGGAGTTACCTCCAGGATGATTTTACTACAAAAACCTACATAAGGTGGCAGCTGGCTGGAGGGAGATCGACAGGAAGATAAATATTTCTGGTACAAACTGTGTGGGATGCTAACAGATAGCTTGTTTTACAAAGTGGAGATGGAGGTATGATTCAGTCTGGGAGTTACCTGTGATAGTCTTGTTGTGAGTATGAATAATAAGGACGTACGTGCTCTGAGACCACAGCTGATCAGTAAGTTATTTGCTCACATGTCGTGACAGAGTTCAATATTTAGCAGATCCAGTGTGGACAAAGAGCATCTAATGTCACGCGATACTTTGGCGTTCACATCCTGTTAGGGCACGGTGTCACTGTAACATTTAAAGATATAGTATAGATAGATATAGTTAAACATGGTGATCTGGCTATCTGACGTCTCTGCTGTGGTTTCTTTATGAACTGTGTTGCTTTGCTGGTGTCTTCAGTAGATCAAATCTACCCGCACAGAAACAATGTCCTGCTGTGGACGGAGCCATAGTGAAATGTATTTTAGACACCTCAACACATTAATATCAGTTTAAGTGTACAATATATTTATTTCACCACTGTATGTTACACACTAACTGATCGCTGTAGACCGTCTTCGTAATTGACTGATTTTATGCCCCCCCATTGGCGACAGCCATGTCTGGAGACATTATGTTTTCAGGTTGTCCGTCCGATCATCCATCTGTCCCATTCTCATGAACACAGTGTCTCAAGATCGCCTTGAGGGACTGTCTTAAACTTTGGCACAAACGTTCGACTTGAGTCAATGATGACCTGATTAGACATTTGATCAGATACTGAATTGGTGACTCTAATCTTGAAACTGTGCTGATTGTATAGATCTTCTGTGTGTGAAGCATCCATGTTTTCACTGACATGGATGGAGACTCTACCTGCAACATGACGGGTTCATGGAGGCAGTAATTCTAGTTATCGATGGAGTCTGGTGGCTTTGATAAAACCGCTTCAGTTCCCTGTCAGAAAAGGCCGTCTGGCTACAAGGTTAAGAGGTATAACATTTCATATATACAAATAAACTGACAGACTGGTTTTAGTGGGCCTTTTCTAAGTGGCTAAAAACTAAGTGTTAGAGGCAGCGTTTGCTTGACGGTGTTTCATTTACTGTACGTGATGCAGGTTTCTAACAAGAAGTTATTGTGATTCAGTCTCATAGATGTTGAGATGTTTCAGTCTGAAACAAAGACAGACAGATGTTAATGCCACAGAGCTGCTTACAGGATAAAAAACAACTACTGACCGACAGTTTTTCTTTTATCAGAGATGTTACATTGAAATGTCATCCGTCTGCAGAAATATCAGCTCATGAAGAAGACACAGCCTCAACATCACTGATTAACTTCATGTTTCCACACAGAAACTAAAACATGATCTAACAGCTTGTACCGCCAGCTACAGGAAACATGCTAGCAGATTAGCATTAATGCTACGTTGCCTATCCTGTTGGTCACATGACCCTCACCTTACAGGTCGTAGCAGTCTGCAGAGACGTGGAGTCTGAAACATGGCATCACACTGTGAGCAACATGTCACCACAACCTGAACTGACCGTCATCAGCCATCAACAGCCAATCAGAATCCTGTTCCAGTGACAATCACATTTTCTTTCTATGACGACGACTCTGCTTTACAGCCACGTCAATGTTTTACCATCAGACCAGGACCAGAACTAACAGCAGGTCATAAATCCTCCAATGAGCTCTCAGTAACGAGCTTCACTTAACTGGTTCAACAGTCACCAGAAACATCTGAGCTGGAGACGAATTTAAAGGTTCTGCTGCAAACTTTTTACTTTTATTAATCATTCTACTTTCCAACGTGTTCAGCAGGTTGTTGTGTAACTTAAAAACTGAGACCTTCCCCGACTTCCTCGGCTGCTTCTAACAGCTTGTTAGTATTGGACCTTTTTCCTGTTGACCTATTACGTCACAGACCAAACAATGGACAAACAAGTTAGCTACGGTTAGCTAGCAGCTAACTGCTACCATGGTGGACAACTTTACAGCTCTGTACATTTGGTCCGTCCAAAAAGTCACGGCTCTGGATGTAGATTTCTCCATGTTGTTACCGGCTTCTTCTTCTCTTACACATTTAATGCTATTGGACTTCCGGGTCAAAGCCCGGGGCGGAAACTGTGGAGCATGCTCAGAGCGCCTCGGCCAGTTTGGGTCTGATTGACTGTATACATGCAGGAGTCACATGATCTGGGTGTGTTAGTCCCACTGTGACACATTCACTGCAGGACCATTTCACTCACACTGACATGTTTACAGGGATTTCAAGTAAATGTGTTTTCTCTGTCGTCATGGAAACAGACTGACGTTTTGGTTGATGACCAGGTGGTAGCTCGTGGCTACGGAGTACGAGCATCAAAGCACCAGCAACAGGATGCTGACTGCAGTTCACCAAATGGCCTCAAAGAGAGGCGTCACTAATATTAAGAATTTTGTGAAAGTTACATCCACAACTTTTAATGCGTAAATTGGGAACATCCAATCAGAAAGCACTTGACAGCATAAACAAGGAGGTTTGCTGTTTTGGCAAAAGATTCATCAACTCTGATTACAAATATCAAATATCTGTAACTGCTGCGGCTGTACTGGCTGCGCATAGTCAGAGGGAAAGGTGTATCATGGGTAATGTAGGCAGCATAAAGAAGAGGAGATCTCTGCTCTTTTTAAACAGTGCTGTCTGTAAAAATACTAAATTTACTAACTGGATAAATGTCATCATTCAGACGGACAGCAGACAACTGTGAGGTCATAAAAACAACCTGCTGCTGAACATTTATATAAAAGACGTGCGTTGGCGACACGTGACTAACAGTCATCACATGGATGTTTTACTGGTTTAAGATTTCAAGTGTGTGTTTCTGCAGTGGTGTTTCTGAACCAGTGACAGACACTGAATGTCAAACTGTCTCTGGTCAGTTCGAGTCTGATCTGATGGATATTTAGTTGTTCATCACAAATAAATCACATGTATTGAACGACCTGCTCGCAGTGCGTCCCGTCAGATCAAACCTGATCAGCTGACCTTTGACCCCCCCATCCTCTGACACCAGTCATCCACCAATCAGAGGTCCCACCTGTCCAGAGACTCCGCCCCTCTGATGACATTACAGCGTTCCTGATCCAACATGGAGTCCAGGTCGTGTCTCCGCAACAAAACCAGTTATAAAAAAGAAAAAGTTGCTTGGCTGTAAAAGTGTTGTGAACTGAAGAGTGAGCGATGAGTTCAGAGACGAGATGCTGTCGTTTTATAAAAAAGGACATCACTACGAAAAAATGCATCAGCCGGTTTAAAATCTGCAGCGCTTCAATATAAAGTGCTTCATTACATTGTTACGTTTTTACAGTTTCTTATTAAAATATTGTTTTCCCTGGAGTGAAACCATAGTAAACATGTTACACGTTGGTAAAAATAAACATTTGGAATGTCTCTTTTCTTTTTAAGAAGTCCCATTGGCTGATTTTGGTCAAGCTGAACTCGTCCCCGGAGCCTGAAACAGGAAACGAGGCCACACAGTTAAAACTTTAATGTTCTTCATGATGATCAAACAGACAGGATGGAGGCAGTGACGGGGTCAAAGGGGGGATGGAGGTCAGAGTGAAGCATCATGGGAATAAGGTGGTGAGGGAGCAGAGCAGAAACCAGTTGACACAACTGCACATGTGCAGGAAGCTCGGACCCAGCAGACACCTTCAAATACACAACGTTATATCCAGGTCCTGGACGACTTTTATAGCACTAGATTTTGTCTCTTACACCCGGGCCACACCGCCTGCGTGAGCAGCGCTGCTCAGGTGTGGCTCAGCTGCTGCTCAACTGCCAAACATCTAGAGATCTGGACTCTTGCCTATTTTACCGTGTGACGCGCACAGTTCAGCAAAAACAGACGATAAAAATTGTGTTTTGATAAAGACAGCGACATTACACCACCTTCCCGACAGTTTTTGAAGAAACTGTATGAAAATGTTTCTGCTGCAGCGCTGTCTGTGTGAACACCACAAGTGCGTGAGTCGCACTTGAGCGAGGTTGCCGTGTAAGGAGCACGTGTTTCAAAACCTCTTGTATTTTCTTTTAGGCACCCCTGTGAACAGGTTAGAGCAGCCACACCGCCTGTGTGAGCAGCGCTACTCAGGTGTGGAACATCTACAGATTTGGAGTGTCGCCTATTTCTTCCTTGTGATGTGCGTGGTGTCAGCAAAACTAGACGGTCAACATGGTCTTTTGATAATTATATGTATGACATTACCTTTTCACTACAGTTTCAGTGTCATAAATATTTTCTAACTCAACATTTCCTGTTTACATTTCAAAATAAAAGTCCTCTGACAAAGTTTCTGTGGACAGAGTCCCTTCATTTCTCAACAAGAGGCTGTTTATTTTGAAATATTGTCATGAATGTGTTGTTGATGACGCAGTTGCCTGTATGGCTCAATAACTGAGTGGAGTAACGGCTTTTAATTGTGGAAACAGAGTAATTATAGCAACATGTAGCTCTGTAGCAGCAACACGTCCTCACTGTGACCTCGTCACATGTCCACGTTTGGTCATGGACTTTCCACGTCCACATATGACGTCCAAGGTACCCTGGGTGTGTTGGTTGTTGACGTTCTGGGACGCAGTGTAAACTTCAGCCTGTTACATGCATTGTCTGTTTTCAAAATACACTTCTGTTTTCACAGGAAATGTACAGTTTGCATACAGTCTCTTTCAAAATAAAAGCACTACGTCGGTACAACACCGCCAACTGACGTTTTTTTCCTTCAACAACACACACATGTGGTTGTGTTTAGCCGACACACACACACCGCGTATTCCCCTGATGCCGTTAAGTGCTGTTAAACTATAACGGCGACCAGCTGTGTATCATGCTAATGTGAAAGGACGGCTTTTTTTTTGTCAGTGTCTGATGCCAGAAGATACTGACCAAACACTGGTTGCTGATGACTCTGGAGAGAGACTGGGTTGCAGTGGTCATGCTGTCTGTGTGTAAGCCGTCATGCACTGTTCACGCAGGCAGTGTGGCCTGGGTGTAAGTCTTCCTTTACAGCAGCAAGAGCTCCGCCTGTCACTTTACTGTAATAACCACAATCAGAAACATAATGTTCATGTTAACACAAACCTGAAGCTTCATCTCTGAGTTATCTGATTATCTGCTGAGTCCTTGAAAGCACCACAGTGAGGTAATAAGGCCAAACTGAATAAACACAAACAGCTGCAAAAAAAAAAAAAAAAAAAAAAAAAAAACAACCTTTAAATACAAAAAAAACCTTTAAAAATATAAAGATACAAAAGTAAAAAATAAATTACAAACAAACATAAAGTCATTGAGGAGTTTGGTCCCTGATGATGAGGAAGAAACAGCTGTGATGATGATGATGATGATGATGATGATGAAGGGAATGAGTCAGGTTAACATGCATCAGTGTTCGTCCAATCAGCATGCTCAGGACAGTGTGTGTCTGTTAGCATTTGTCTGTTAGCTTGTGTCAGTTAGCATGCACCAGTTAGCACGTGTCCGTTAGCACATGTGTTAGCTTGCGGCGGTGACGGCGGCTGATTTCTTGCTAGGTGTGGAGGGGGCGGGGCTTGGCGTGTGTAGCAGGCTTACAAACAGGAAGAGGGTGGAGGTGGGCAGGTAGACGCAGAGGAAGAGGACGACGTCCTCGCTGAGACAGAGGACAAAGTCGCTCTGCTCCGTTAGCACCCAGTCCACCAGCACCCCGACCAGCAGGTAGTACACCTGGAACTCCTGAAGGTCCTCCCACTCCCCCCCACCTCCGTCCAGGCCCACTCCCACCGATGAGCTCTTCTGCCTGGCCACGCCCCCTCCGCTGTCACTCACCATAGGCTTCATCTCCGCTCCCTCTGATACCGCCTCCTTCACCCGGCTCCGCCCACGTTCCACCGCCCGCTCCAACCGCCGGCTGCTCTCCACAAACTCCTGCAGGGGAGGGGTCACAGTGAGAGGGGCGGGGTCAGAGGGGCGGGGCCACATGGGAAGAGTCCACATTAAAAATTAGAAGGACAAAGAAAGTGATGCTTGGGCACTGAAGGCCCCTTCTCATCTTCCTCTTTTGTCTTTAAAGACTTTTCAGGTTAATCTGAACCAACACTACGGGTGTGAAGCTTCCTGCCGACCACGGCGCAGAGCAAACAGCTGAACCCTCAAACCAACGAAAAGAGGAAGTTTCAGTGCGGATCAAACTAAACCACTGCTCGGTTTGTCTGGTGTGAAAACATTTCTTGGCCTGTCACTTTCAGGAAGTTTTGGAAGCCTATTGTCCAGTGATAAGAGTAGTGCAGCGCCTCATGTGTAGTGTGTGTGTGTGTGTGTGTGTGTGTGTGTGTGTAGTTCACTGACACAAAGAGAGACGGTGCTGCGTTCAGATCAGACTGTTGGTGATCAGACCAGAGGAGAAATCAGCAGAGAAGCTGTGTAGTAAATGTTCAGTGTAGGTTTCAGTTTTTCCGTGAAAACCATGAACCGTGTAAAATAACAATGAAGCCGCTCAGACGTGTTCTGAAGCCTCAAGTTCAACATTTCACCCGTCACCATCTTGATTTGGAAAAAAGAAGTGACTAAATTTGGACGAGAGGGTGGAGCTCTGGAGGAGCGAGGGGTGGATGTGACTCACAGACTGTAACGATGCCTCGCAGGAGGCCCGTAACTTAAAGAGGCCCCGCCCTGAATTATGTGCAACTTTAAACCTTAATAAAACATAAACAGCTGAGTTACGTAACAGTTCAGCCCCGTACAGTCGTCATGAAAGTTGAAATGAGCTACAGAGACCAGACGGGCTGTGAACATGTTTATCTCTACATGTTAACATGGCGGTCTATCAGAGACCTGGATACAGCATTGGGGGCGGGGCCTGTTCATTCCTATGACAGTTGCTCAGTCACATGACACCACAAAGCTCTTTTTCCACAGTATGAAATTACCCAGATCTTCTGCACCGTGGGGCCCACAGAGGAGGCACGCCACAGACTTACAGGTGCTGAGCGTGGTCGAGCGGCAAACTTCCACCGGTTGGGCAGCTGACTTCCAGTTTAGCGCTAACTTGAACGGGGAAATAATTATTTAATCATCTATTATTTTGACTTGATGATGTTGCTACAGGAAATCAACTACCGACTGGCTGACAGTTCATCACCTCAGTGTTCCTGCTGGCGGCGCAAACGCAAACAAAAAAAAGCCCTTGAAGATTGTAGTTCTATGCCGGGCTGTAACGATCCATCGACCTGGATCAATATATTGATTCAATGATCACTGATGCAAAGTGAAACACCTGTACTTTTGTTAGTCTGACCAAACCAGGTGTGGACGGGCCCTTAAAGGTTGACAGGAAGTTACTTTGACTGTCGGCCATGACGTCACTACTGTTCATGTAGTCAACACATCGACATGTCATAATATTATTATCATAATCTGACGTATCATCATCAGTATGTGTTCAGCGTGCTGCCGTCTCACCATCAGAGCTTTGTCCATGAAGAACTCCTTCCCAGGAGTGCCGTCGTTGTACTTGGTGTCGATGGCGAAGCAGAGGAAGAGGACGTCCACCACGATCTCAAAGATGGACAGGAAGCAGTGAGCCACCAGGAAGGAGAAGAGACATACGATGATCAGAGGCAGCAGCCACTCGGCGTAATCCCGCTGGTAGTTCAGGAGGAGGACACCGGCGAACGCTGTCGACGTCACGATCAGGATCTGAGGAAACATGTATACAAATCAGGTCAGAGGTCAAAGAGTCTGTGTGTGGCTGAGATGTTGATTTTTTTATTTTACAACTGCAGTGGTTCACACAGTGAGAAGACTCAGGGTTCAAACCCGCTGCTAGCTGTGGTTTGTAAGAAATTCTGCTGCCTGTAGGGGGCGCCAACAGGACCAGGACCAGTTCAGGCCAGATATCTGATCCAGATCCAGCTCACCTTCCCCAGGAAGAGCACGAAGTCTCCGACGGCGTTGATTGTGGCGACGCGCAGAGCGTTTTCCACCAGGATCACAAAGGCGTCACGTGCAGACGTGCAGAAACTGGTGCTGTTGATGGCTGTGGCTGCATATGCATTCTGGGAAATAATAACACAGGTGAGACAGTCAGGGCGGAAAACAGGAAGTAGCGTTAAGGAGGAGGGGCGGGTCGTTTGTTACCTGATTGAGATAGTTGAGGCACTTCTCCAAACACCACAGACAGCAGATACACGTTTTCAGCAGACAGCGAGCGCACGCGTTCTCCTGAGACACACAATGACATCATCACATCATACAGCATCAATAATCAGATCAATAATCAGATATCACTGAAGCATCCAGGTGAGTCACACTCAGACAGGTGAAGACAGGTGAGTTCATTCAGATTCAGCCACAGCGTGTGCTCTTGATAAAAGTTTGTACCTTTCCTTTCAGCTGGTTGTGGATGTACATGAGGAAGAGTCGGGGGATCTTGACCAGCGTGATGATGAAGGCTCCCTTAGCGACAGTTCCCAGGTGATACCTGACGAGCCGCAGGACTGACGACAGGATCGGAGTCACCGGGAGCCGGTTCTTGTCCCTGAAACACAGAGTCCATATCAGAGATCCTGAACTGCTGGAGTCCAGCGCTGTGAGCAGGTGCTGACTCACCTGTAGGCAGGTGCTGACTCACCTGTGAGCAGGTGCTGACTCACCTGTGTGTAGGTGCTGACTCACCTGGTGAAGTAGTAGGTGACCACAGCTCCAGCCACAGTCATCTGCTGACAGGCCAGGATGAACTCGGTGATCCAGACCAGCCCCACGGCGTGATACCAGGTGAGGTACTGCAAAGGACCCGTCAGTCTGAACTCTGTCAGACCCGTCTCCTCATTCTGGACTGGGTTACCTGCAGAACATGTCACAGGTCAGACCACACTACAGTTCCCACAATGCTTTGGGGACGTTAACAACATGTTGATGAATGGAGTGACTCGGCTGTCACTGCCTGTGAATAACTCTGACAGTCGATTTGCAACAGTTAATCAATAAATAAATTCATCAGCAGCCAGTCTGATGATCAATCATTTCTTTAAGTCGTCTTTTAAAATCTGAAACATGTTCTGGTTTCTTCAGGTTTCAGAAGCTGCTCTGAATCCTCGTGCTCCGGTCACTGCTGCTGCCGGACTCAGAAAAACATCTAAGCTCCAGGTGAGAGATCTGCGACCTTTACTATCAAAGACGAAGAAGAAAAAGTCTTGAGCTTTATAACGAAGGGATCACTGCCTGTTAACAGAGGTGTAGAGGAGGGGACACACAGGTACACACAGGTGTATCTGCCCGTTCACAGTTTACCCACCTATCAGCCAAAAAGCCAGTGGAGGATACAGGACAGTTCACCCACTTCCTCCTCAGTAACTACATATCTACCTGTAGTTCACCCACCTATCAGTTTCCATGACATCAGCGCCTCTTACGTCTAAATCAGCAGATCAACATCACTGATGGCTCTAAATAACCATCCACTGATTCCGATTCAGATTCTTTATTAGTCCCAAAGGACGACTCACTCCTGCAGCTGCTCTGACCCATGTAAACACAATAAAGAAATAAAGAAATAAATAAACAATCAGATTAATGAGTGATATATCGACAGGTCATCAGTGTCAGTGGATACTGGGTTTAAAATGAACAAACCAGCCCTGCGTTCCAATACGCATACTACCATACTATTTAGTATGCCAGAAAAAGAATTAGTGTGTCCCAATACATAGTATGTCAGATGCAGTATGCCAAAAGTACCAGGATGTTCTACTACATCCGGTCACATTTGGCAGTATGCATGTCAGCATGCTTCTTTGGCCATTCTGACCCACAATCCTTTGCGCAGCAGAAGTTACGTCACAGTTACTGAGCTGCGTGTACAACCAACGCCCACACTTCCTTTCATACATGGTTTATTTAATTTGAGATACTAAGACAGTACATATTAGGACTGCAATGATCTGATTATATACTGTCACATATCATACAGTTTTGCAAGAACACAGATACAACATTCAACTTTACTGTGATTACAGTATAATCAGTGTTAGGGTTCAATTATGACTACAATATAGAAGATTCTACCAGTACAGGCAGTGGTGTAAGTGTGGTATAAATAATGAATGAATATGACTAAATATGAATACACTATGGGCCAGGTATGAGCAGTATAGACTAGTAAATATATAAATAGTAAAAGTCAAACACATATTAAGTAATGTAGTAAGAATGTGCAGGTATGTTACACTACAAATAAAAGTAATGTGAATGTAAGGCTGCTTCACGTGCAGACAGAATATAGTGCCAGCAGCTGCACAGCTGTAAATATATTTAACAACAAACATCTGCCAGCAACAGAGAGCTGTGTGTGAAGGGGTTAATGTGCCTACTGGTGACTAGTTCAATAGACAGGTCACTAATAATAGGCTTGGGACTGTTTATTAGAAACAACAACATACATGACGACATAACAGCAACAAAGCTCTCCAGCACCTCCGACGGTATGCACGACTCTGGCGAGCTCGACGAGAGGAGATATGCTGCATCTCCAAAGTACAACAACACAAAATATTCAAATGTGGCGCTACGGACGGCGGCGGAAGTGAGCAAGAGGGTCGGAGTTCAGGGAGCGATGTAATGGCGGATGTAGTGTGTCCCAATAGTATGCACACTGCATGCATACTGCATACTACACTACATACTTTTTAAGGGCAGCTGCAGTACATATTAAAAGTATATAGTAGAAGTATGCGGTTTGGAACGCAGGCCCTGAATCAGAATCAGACCAACATGTTTTTTCTTCTTCATCACAATGGGTGAATATCACAGACACTGAACAGTGTGTCATGTCTCCACCTGCTGGTGGGCCGTCGCCATCACAGTCTGTGTATAACATGATGTTAATTCATCTACAGAAGAGACTTGATGATGATCACTGACATTAGGAGGGAAAACGTGGATATATCGACATCACTTATCGGCCAAATCACCAAATATCATGCATCCCTACGATGAACATGTTCGAGCACAGACTCTGCTGTGAGCTAACTGTGGTTACTTGGTTCTTAAACTTTGCAGCGACGGCTGTGAAGCAAACGTATCCATCCACACAATGTTAAATTCTCCATGTTTTTTCCTTTTCTGTGTTTTAGAACAAAGGAAATCACTTCGCACATCTATTAAAAAAAGACAGGTGCGTTGGAGAGAGAAGACCAAAAAATTGCAAAAGGACTCCCGCACACTGTCTGACTTGGAATATAAAATTTATTTGTGACGTTTCGGTACTAGTTTGCCTGATGAAGGTCTAGTACCGAAACGTCGCAAATAAATTTTATATTGCAAGTCAGACAGTGTGCGGAAGTCCTTTTGCAGCCTTTTCTGTGTTTGGAATTCAAACACAGCCGAGTGAAGGGGACTCAAGGCGGGTCATTTCTGTTGAGGTGTGGCAGAAGTCGGAGAAAAACGCGCCAGGCAGCAGACGTACGGAGCACGTTTTAGTTGACGCAATGTTAAACCACTTTTATTTGGTGCACAGGCTGCACATTTTTACTACTGGAGAGAATCAATTTAGACCTCCAACAGAGACACATAAAAATTAAAATGTTAAAAAATAACCTTGGGTCACTGTCAGCTCACCTGGTGGAGCAGGCAGCACCTGTACAGAGGCTGTGAGGAGCAGCTGTGGGCTCTTTGCTGCACGTCACCTCATCTCTCTCTGGCTCTTATGCTTTATCCATTCTGTTTGTGTTCCTCATCAAACATCAGCTCACAAACGCTCCTGATTTAAATGTGTCGGTTCTTTATTTTCTTTAATCATTACATTTTTATTTTCTTTGTTTATTTATTTATTTTTACTATAGGTTAGGTTTATTATTACAAAACTGTTATATTTGTTATCTTCACTATTTATTTGAATATACTGTGTATTTAATTTGTGTCACTATGTTTATAATGAACCTTTCATCTGCTTGTATTTGTACATGTGTATTTTTCCTTTCTTAAAATCTATTTCTTTATGCACAGATGTAAATGTTCATTTATCTAACATGATGTCATTTCACTGAGCGTCTTTCAATAAAACATCTTTAGAAAAGTCATCAGCTCAAAGACTCAATAAAGTTCTGATTTAAGACGGAGAAGTTTAAACATGTTTTTGCCTCATAGAGTCTGATCTGTGTTTCTGGTGTTTAAACTCTAAACAGGTCTGAAAGTGATTCAGACCAAAGTCTGAGCCGATCAGCTGATCAGAGACAAAGCGGTGATGTTTGAACTGACCGCTGGTTCCCAGGAAGAGCAGGACCAGGATCCAGTACATCCAGAAGAGCAGGAGGGCGAGGAAGGTGACGAAGGGCTGCAGGGTGAGGAGGGGGAGGTGGATGAAGACTTTTCCCGCAACGTGGAACAGAGCGATGGTCAGAGCCACTCGTTTCCTCATGAAGAGCATCAGCAGCAGCAGGATGATCTGAAACACACAAGAACAGGAAGTGTGTCGGTGTTTACCTGGACTGTGAACAGGTCACATGATGACATCATCAAAACGTCTTGAACCCAGAGAATCAGCAGGAAACCGACAACAGCGTCAGAGTTACAGTGTTCCTACAGCTGGAGGCCACTTAGGATGAAATTTAAGACAGAACTAGACTCCCCGCCCTGTGGTTGAATGACTCCGCCCACCAGTCCACCCTGTGGTTGTATGACTCCGCCCACCAGTCCACCCTGTGGTCGTATGACTCCGCCCACCAGTCCACCCTGTGGTTGTATGACTCCGCCCACCAGTCCACCCTGTGGTTGTATGACTCCGCCCACCAGTCCACCCTGTGGTTGTATGACTCCGCCCACCAGTCCACCCTGTGGTTGTATGACTCCGCCCACCAGTCCACCCTGTGGTTGTATGACTCCGCCCACCAGTCCACCCTGTGGTTGTATGACTCCGCCCACCAGTCCAGCCTCTCTGACAGTCTCCATCCATGTCAGTGAAAACATGGATGCTTCACACACAGAAGATCTATACAATCAGCACAGTTTCAAGATTAGAGTCACCAATTCAGTATCTGACCAAATGTCTCCCCTTCTGTTCCTGAGATATGACGTTAAAACATGATGATGTCACAGTCAAGCTGACCTTTGACCTTTTGACCTTCATTATTTTATCCTGTTAGACATTTGTGTCAAGTTTGGTCAGAATTAGTGAATGAATTCTTCAGTTATGGACAAAAACATGTTTTGTGAGGTCACACTGACCTTTGACCACAAAATGCTGTTTTGGTGATGTGTTTAATCTGCTGGTCGAAGGAGAGGGACTGATCGAGAATGATGCCAAGATTTCAAATGTGAGGGCAGGTGGATACTGTGGAGCCGTCGATGTTGAGTGGGTGGCAGTGGAGTTTGTCTTGGTAGAGATGAGGATATCATCGGCAAAGCAGTGGAACTGGAGACCATGATTATGGATTATGTGACCAGGTACAGGATGAAGAGGGTGGGACCAAGAACTGAACCTTGGGGGACACCTTGGGGGAGGGGAGCAGTGGGGGATTTGCAGCTATTGATGGAGATGAACTGAAGTCTGATTTGAGATATGATTTGAACCAGTTGAGAGCAGTGCCAGTGATGTTAAAGAAAAAAAAACAAAAAAAAAACAACCAACATGACTCACTGGGACAATTTGGCCCTAATGTTTATGACTTTTTGGTGTCATGGTGAAGGCGAGGGTGGAACAGAATTAGGAATTATTTTGTTGGTGTTTGTTGGTGAGTTTTCTTGCCTTAATTCCCATCGTGCTGAGTTTGAAAAATTTCTTAGGCATAAAATGCACCATGACTTGTTGCACCTCCTTCACTGATTCCAGCCACGAAATCTTGGTTAAATATCTCGTTTCGTTGAATTTGCACAGTTCCCCGTGTCGTCCAAGGGACAGAGACTAGTTTACAGACAGAGGAGCCTCTGAGAGTCCAACAGTGTTGTTGCTTCTGCTGTTCTGATGTGATGTCATCATGAGAGAGGAAATTTACAGTAATATTGATTAATGTGTACTGTCCTTTTTATAAATAAAATAAACTGAAACTGAAATGATATAAAGAAAAATACCAATAGTTTGAGATTTTACAACAGAAGAAGAAAAAAGATTCTAAAATCCTGCCTCCCATGTCTCAACACTTTAAGACTTCAAAGACTGATTAAAGACATTTTAATCCTAATTACAGCCTCATTTTTAGATTAACAGGATCTGCTGTAACGATCTATAGCTGATGGTCTGAGGTGCATTATGGGACGTGGTCACCTCCTCTCTGTTGGTTAAATGTTACACAAATTATTCAGAGGTGTGTTTCGGGCGTAACATGAATAAGGACAAACATGTTTGTAACAGTGGATATGCTTACGGTGAAGACGGTGGCAGCGACGGCGTAGACGAGCAGCGCCTGTCCGCTGTCTCTGATGGCCTCCTCCTTCACCTCCTCCTTCACCTCCTCCTTCACTTTAGGTGTGGTGTCGTTCCCGTACAGCCGGTGGTCGATGTAGAGCCACCAGAGGACGCTGGTCCCCGCTGGACAAAGATACAACAGGGTTTTAACACACAGTGAAACCAGGTCAAAGTTTCAGCTGTGTAAACAGGAAGTGACCTCACCAAGGGATCCGAGGACGACCAGCGAGGTGAGGATCCAGACGAGGACGGCCGAGATGTAACGAATGATCACCATGAGGATCATGGACAGGACTGACAGACAGACAGACAGACAAAGAGTAATCATTAAAAACCTGCTAAATTTGATTTAAGATCAGGTCGTGATGTAAATATGAATCCTTCATCATCATCATCATCATCATTAACAGGAATTAACCCTAACGAGATCTGAACCCTGAAGAATCAGTGATGATGTAAAAGCTGTGTGACTTGTCTCTTTAAGGTTCTCACCCAGAGCGAGCACACACAGGCCGATGATGATCTCTTTACTGGCGGCGACGCCGGCGATCAGTCGGTGCAGAACGCTGTTATCACTCACAAACGTCACCACTGCCTCCGCAAACTTCGCATAGCAGGAAATGTCCACCGGAGTGCAGCGGTTAAACACTGGCAACGGCTTACTGAGGACACAAAGAGGTCAGAAAGGTCAAAGGTCACAGAGGTCAGAGGAAGGACATTGAAGTGGTGGCGGTGGTGGAGCTAGACATACCTGGGTGGAACAGGAAGTTTAGGACATTTAGAGAACCTCTCGGGTAGACCGGGATATTTATGACCTGCTAACTCGTATGAACACAACTCCGAACCTGAAACAGAAACCCAGAGGGACAGATGTGATGACATCATCAGTTTGTTTTTACCTGCTGAAACCAGGTGTGACTGAACAAAAGTCAGAGCGTCTTTACCTTCTCTAACCGAACAGTCTCTATGCTAAGTTCTTTATGCTAAATTAAGCTAGCTGTTTCCCCATTTCCAGTTGCTAAGCTAACATAGCTGTTTCCCCATGTTTCCATTCTTTATGCTAAGCTAAGCTAAGCTAAGCTAACAGTTGCTGGCTGTAGCTCTATATGTTTAGTGTTTATTAAATGTTGGACTGTTCCTTTAGAGGACACAGACACTCAGCAGCCTGACTGCCGTGACTGACTGTGGACAAAATAATAGAAACGCCTCAGTGACAGAGACGTCTTTCACAAACATGATGTCTGCTGTCATGTTTCAGACAGTGGACACAGTCACAGCGTCCATGATGGAGGACAAACGGAGACGAGTGGCACCAGCTGAACACACAGCTTAATGCTGCCTTTGTTACTGTACTCTGTGTGTGTGTGTGTGTGTGTGTGTGTGTGTGCGTGTGGACGGTACTGTACACTGACGGTGTGTCAGGTCACACGTCTGCAGACATTAAATCATCGCCATGACGTGACGGCGAGAACCGTCAGTCTGTCCGTCCAGTTTGACCCGGTGCAGACCTGTCTCAGTACCCTTTACTGTCCTGCTGTTAGCCTTCTGCTAACTGAAGCTAAAGGCTAACAGCTGCAGCTTCATATTTCTGTAGCTAACGTTAGTTAGAGCCTTGAATCACAGTGTGTCCTCCGCCTCACTCCCCGCCGCTACAGACCACCTCACCAGGAGGAGAGCAGGCAGCAGCTCCAGAGATCAAACCCCAGCTCAGAGGACGGACAGCCCCAACTCCCCCCTGGATCAGCAAACTTTCTGTTGCTGCTGTTACACAGGTTAGACCTGACGCTGTGACATCCGGCGCTGGGGGGTTTGATTTGGCCAAATTCAAGCCGCCAACTAAAGGTCTGTCTCCAGAGCTGTTGCCCACTCCTGGTGAAACAGTCCACAGTGGTGGGGAGTGAGGTGGAGGGAGCGTGGGGCAGCTAGCAGCTTATTCTAGCCTGGGTTACTGTATGTAGCACATGCATGCGCTCATGGTCACCTGGTGGGCGGTGCTTCGTATCAACAGAGAGAGGGTGTATTTTAAAATTCTGCTTTTTCTGTTTTACAGGAATGAAAACTGAATTTTTTTGTTTAACAAAACACCTGATTATAATTTAACAAAATATTACGTCCTGACAGACGTGAACTTTCATTTTAACTTAAAATATTTTTATAAAACTAAAACAGTAAAATTTAACACTGTAGATAAACAAATGTTCCTGGTCTGATAACAATAAACTCTCACTCTAACATTTCCCATCAGCTCCAGAGTGAGCAGGATTTAACCCCAGCCTGTTCAGATGAGTCATGTGACCTGTTCAGATGAGTCATGTGACCTGTGACTCACCGTTGAGCATGGCGAACCTCTTGAGGTCCTGGTAGGTCTTGAGCTCCTCGCTGGGACACAGAGACACACACAGAGCCATGGACTTTATCTTCCTCTGCACGATGTCAATGTTACAGGGATCCAGGAAGAAGACGAACCTGCAGGCCACACAGAGGACAGGAAGGTCACTAAAGGTCACAGAGGGTCACTAAAGGTCACTGATAACCAGGTCACTGGTCAGGGCCACTGGAGGTCTGAGACCTCGGTGCATTCAGGGCCACTGGAGGTCTGAGGCTTTGGTGCGTTCAGGGGCCCTGGAGGTCTGAGGCCTTGGTGCGTTCAGGGGCCCTGGAGGTCTGAGACCTCGGTGCATTCAGGGCCACTGGAGGTCTGAGGCCTCGGTGCATTCAGGGCCACTGGAGGTCTGAAGCCTCGGTGCATTCAGGGGCCCTGGAGGTCTGAAGCCTCGGTGCATTCAGGGGCCCTGGAGGTCTGAGGCCTCGGTGCATTCAGGGCCACTGGAGGTCTGAGGCCTTGGTGCGTTCAGGGGCCCTGGAGGTCTGAGGCCTTGGTGCATTCAGGGGCCCTGGAGGTCTGAGGCCTTGGTGCATTCAGGGGCCCTGGAGGAGAATGTCAGAATTTGGACGTGGGAGAAAACTAACAAAGACTCTGTAGTGAAAACCCTCCACATTCTTCTTCCTACAACAACAACAATCTGTGATCAGCTGATACACACCTTTTGACAACACACACACACACACACACACACACACACACACACACACACACACAGGTCACCCGTGCAAACTCGTTGATGTCAGAAACAGATTGTCAGTCGGCCAGAGTTACAAGTCACATGTCTAATCACAAACCGTTTGTTTAAAGGCAAAGAATACTGTCAGGTGATTGGATGAACCATCTGTTTATCACCATCTATCACAGGATGACTTCAGCCAATCAGATCAACCCGCCGACCAGCAGAGTAAATTAACCTCTTTGTTAGAAAAGTAAAAACATCTTTTCCATCACGAAAAACCTTCAGTGCTGTGTGACTGCAGCATCCACGCTAACCTCTTCAGTCGCCTCTCTGTGCCATCACGCACACTAAATCCCCGCCCACTGCTGACAGTAGCTCCTCAGAGGACACTGATTGGTCCAAACCACACAAACACATCACCTGAGCCTGACAAGATGGATTCTCTCGTGACCTTGTGACATCACAACAGAATCCAGCTTCTGTGCAAAGTCACCACAACAAGGTCACAGGGTCACACTGACACTTACACATTAACATTACACAGTGCAGGGGACATAAAAACCTACTTCCTGTCGGTGTGGTCGAGGCCGCTCAGTCGGACGCCTTCGATCTGCTCGTTGCGTTGACCACACGTGTTGCCATAGCTGTCGTATCCGAAAACAAGGCGAGCGGCGCCGCCGGTGACGATGGTGAAGCCGCAGATGCTGCCCTGCAGGACGCAGACACCGATACTGTTAGTCATTTGATATGTCAAGGTTTTACCAAATATTAAAGAGATATGATGATATAATCATATGAACATGTGTTATCAGATATATGATCATATAAACATGTGATATCAGATATATGATCACATAAACATGTTATCAGATATATGATCACATAAACATGTGTTATCAGATATATGATCATATAAACATGTGATATCAGATATATGATCACATAAACACATGTTATGAGATATATGATCACATAAACATGTGTTATCAGATGTATGATCACATAAACACGTGTTATCAGATATATGACCATATAAACATGTATTATCAGATATATGCTTATATAAACATGTATTATCAGATATATGATCATATAAACATATGTTATCAGATATATCATCATATAAACATGTGTTATCAGATATATCATCATATAAACATGTGTTATCAGATATATCATCATATAAACGTGTTATCAGATATATGATCACATAAACATGTGCTATCAGATATATGATCATATAAACATGTGTTATCAGATATATGACCACATAAACATGTGTTATCAGATATACATGATCATATAAACACGTGTTATGAGATATATGATCACACGAACGCAGGGTTACTCGTGGTCCCTAAAGTCTCCAAAAGTAGATCAGGAGCCAGAGCCTTCAGCTATCAGGCTCCTCTCCTGTGGAATCATCTTCCTGTTACGGTCCGGGAGGCAGACACCGTCTCCACATTTAAGACTAGACTTAAGACTTTCCTCTTTGATAAAGCTTATAGTTAGGGCTGGCTCAG